ATTCGAAAGCAGCACCAGGAAATACGTATAGCAGTATGAGTCTCATTTCAAATGGTCCCTTCGACTTGGGATCCTTCCCTTGTAAGTACTTTTCCGTGTACATCACTTGCTCTGCGAGATGCTGGGATGCTCTCTGAAGAAAATCACACTGCAATTTTTAGCCTCATGAGGCTCGAAGAGAGTCGAAACGTCGTGCCCACTCTTTCACAGTTATGTCTTGCCTTCTCGCTAGTGGCCACTTATTATTAGGTTATAAGCTGTCAGTGTTGATCCAGGCCTTCTTCAGAAAAATAATGCATTACTCTAATTTCATAGACCTGGCTTTGGTAGTGTCACTGGTACAACTAGATTCGGCCATTAGAAGTTGATTTCTTCTCATCGTTCAGCAATATGTTCAAAAATATCACCACATGCACAGTAGCTCATGAACACAACTTTTGCGCGCTCATTTACGACTCTACATACTCTCCGCTCATAGCACTTGTCTACTTTCTAGTTCCACACCTGAATTTAGAAGACTTCTATTTTGCTCTAACGTGCCGCTAGTATATTGACCACTCATTCAGGTTATTGGGGGAGCCCGCAAGGCTCTATCTTCCGTTCGGTTAGGTACGTGATTTGAAGAAAGGGCCTGATGCAATTCTTTTATTCTTCGCTTCCATTGTAAAGAAACTTTACTGTTTTAGTTATTCTGCGCTAGATTATGGAATTGCTTATGAAAAATTGAAAGTTATCATTCTGTGAATGTAGAGTGAATGAAAAGAGCACAAAAACTGCAACCATACTGTATGATTTGGATAGGAACCGAGTCACCTTAGGTATCAAAAAGGTCGCTGAAGGTGGTGAAACGAGCATACAAAGGTTGTGCCGTTCTCGATGGGAACGCTCTGCAAAATGCAAAAATCACGTCTCTCACAAAACGCGTCCCATGGTCTCATGCCTATAAACCGTCACGCTTGCCACTGCTCCAAATACCGCTCTGTGGACTGTTGCATCTATGTCTCAGGCGCTTGC